CACCCACACCCACATCCACATCCCACACCCCCCACCCACACCCACATCCACATCCCACACCCCACACCCACACCCACACCCAAAAACAACAACAATGGATTTTTTTATATTGTGATGTGATTTTTTTAATACTTTATGGTATGTTATAAAAAATAGTCATCGTTGATCGCATCTATGCATCACGATAAACGTATTTAATTAATGTAGTGGGTGTGTGCGTGTCTTCTTGTACTCAACACCAACACCCACGTACCCACACTCATCCTATTCGTATGATTTATCGTTAAAATAACGTATGAAAATTTTCATGTTTTCATAAATGAATGGCCATCTTAAGGTGAATACAACAAAAAAGCATTATTCAAACCGTTTGACTAGAATTAGAATTGTAGCCAATTTTCTTTCTACAGTCCAACTATATTGTCACCGTGCTCATTCCAGACGTGCACCGAATGCAATACTCCTCGGTAATTTTTCGACACAAATACAATTTCCACACTAGAATAAGTTTACATTCTTCCACTTCTGAACAATGTATACTTTTACAAACAATGCTTAAAATAAGATAATATCCGTGCATTATTATGAAAAACACTGAAGGTCGAATCAGGAACATCAAAATGAATTATAACAAGGAAAACAAAAATACACGTCATAGAATCGGAAAATGTGTCCCCCATGCACAGAATAAAGCACACATGATAGGATGGGAAAAACAGAACTATGCTAAGAACAGAAAAGAACGTGCTAAAAAGGATAATATGACAACATCTAGATTTTGCACTCAACATTCTCCTCCACAATTTTCCCGAAGGGAATATTTCTTCCCTCATAGGTAAAAAAAAGTGTCGGAGAGGAGAATCCCAGTTACTTCTTTCGAGCCATATATATATATGACATTCGATAATGCAACAAACAAACGAAAGTTACATTGGAATACAATTGTACTACATTATCAGAGTAAGTATACTGTTCTTCTCGTCCAAGTGCAAAATTTTCATCAGTGAGTATCAATATTTCTTGAAACAAACTGCATTCATTTGATGAGTCTTTCTAATAGATATTATATCAAGCCCTTCAGTTTTGTTACTCTTCGTGACTTTTGAAAAAGTCGACCAAACTTTGTTTTAGCAATTCGCAACAGTTCATTTCTAATAAACTTCGAGAAAAAGGATACTTCTTGCGCAGCGTATCCTATCATTCTGAAAGCTTTTATTTATGTTTCTACGCCAACTTCATTGAACTAAAGTTGTATCAATATTTGCGAAATATATTCTTAGATGTCTGTGAAAAAAAAGATTCTCTCTAGTAAAAACAGTTTTTTTCTCAGAAAACTTGTTATTACTCTTAGAAAAGTCGATATGTCGTTTTTAAAGTATCATTTTGTGAGGATATTTTCTAATCCTGTTGATGGAAAGAAAAAGATTGTTACGATCTTGAGAGATTATCGAATCCCTAAGATAGCATAGTGTCATAATGTTTAAGATTTGTTTTTCTTTATTTGAACGATGAATGAGACTTAGGAAATATGATTCGTAGTTCATGAAATATAAAACAGCTTTTACTTTTAGAAATCGTCTATAAATACTGACTAACAAAGAACTACGATCAGAAAATGATTACTATTCAGTCTACGTGGACCTTAATTACATTTCTGATGGTGAACATTTTAAATCTTGATCATGTGAAGTGTAATGTGAATTGGAACGGAAATAACTGGGCCATGTCATGCGATTTCTGGGGAAAAGATCTATACAGTGTTCAGATTTCAGGAGAACATTGTGGTGGTAAATGTGCTCAAACTCCAGGATGCACTCATTTCGCATGGACTAAGTACAACGGTGGTACGTGTTGGATGAAAACAGGTGGGGCATCGAAAAGTGATGCATTCGCAACCAGTGATCCGAATATGGTCTGTGGTGTCATAGCTAACAAACCAGAAAACAAAGCTAGCGGAACTACTACTCGATACTGGGACTGCTGCAAGCCCAGTTGTGGTTGGCCTGGAAAAGTTTCCGGATCGAATGCTCATGTGAAAAGCTGTCGTAGAGACGGTTATGGTACGTGGAGTGATGGAAATGTGCGTAGTGGATGTGATGGAGGTGAAGCCTTTTCTTGCAATAATCATATACCATGGGCTGTGAGTAATCAACTTGCCTATGGATTTGCTGCCGCAACAATACCAGGATTATCGGAACAGCAACGTTGCTGCGCTTGCTACAAATTAGATTTCACGAGTGGTCCCGTTGTAGGAAAGTCGATGATTGTGCAGATCGTTAACAGCGGTTCGGATGTAAGTGCAAATCAATTTGATTTGCAAATTCCTGGTGGAGGCGTTGGAATTTTCAATGGCTGTACTTCCCAGTGGAAATCGCCAAGTGAAGGTTGGGGCAGACGATACGGTGGTGTTTCGTCTCGTCAAGAGTGCTATAATATTCCCCCTGCTATTCGAGATGGGTGCTTTTTTAGATTTGACTGGTTTAAAGGAGCCGACAATCCAAATATGGTGTATTCTAGAGTGCAATGTCCTCAAGAGCTTGTCAAACGTACGGGATGTTCTCGCAACGACTAATTTTATACTTGTACAGTCTATTTTTTTTTCTCTCATTAATTATTTTCTTTTTTGGACAAGAATTTCTATTGTATCACTACTTATCATACAAATGAGAGCATAATTTACATAATAAAATCTTGCATATAATATGCTTCTCTTTATCATTAAACTGATGCTTATCTGAAGTCATTTGTATACAAGAAAAATTTACTGATCGCAAATCAGAAAATTCTTCTTCAATCAAACTCAAGTATAAAAGATGTTCATTAAAATCTAGAAAGAGATGATCGCAATAGTCCTGTAATAATTAGTATGAAAAATGCCACCAGCTATTGAATTTCTTGAGGTAGTGGGTACGGTTACTAATTCGATAATACCAACACCCTTCTTTTTAATTAATGAATAATATTGATGTTTGATATTGAAGATAAAATTATAATCGAAAAAGTAAATCAATCAACACAAGAACATGATATCTCAATAAATCATACAATCGATCATGAAGTAAAGTATTCGATGATGTTCTTTGGAGATGATTCATTCTTTGTTTCGGTTCAATGCTTGAAATTCTTTCAATTCATTCTACTACCATATAAATGTTTAATTAAGATTGTCTCCTGAACGTGATCAAATTTCTTCTCAAATCATAATTGATTTAGACTCTGATTGTTGAAAATGTCATTCTAGTTTTTAATTAACGTTGATATTCATGTAAAACACTTCAAATCGAATGAAACTGGGTGTGAGTGTATGGATTGATTCCATTCGTACCCACACCAACACCCACTCACACCCTCATACATTGAATCAATTCTTAAAATTTGATTGAAATTTTGCGAAACCTAACCGTCTTCCACTGGTGTATTCGTCAGACTCGATTGTAGATTAGTTGACTATAAAAGGACAACGATTGTTGATCGAAACAGTACTCATCACTAGTATGACGATTTATATATTGTACTATTATCAATGAATATCTAAATAGTACGAGCTGTTTACAAGTAACGTACGATGCAAAAGTAATGCCACAAAATATCGATCCTTGTTTCTCTTCGATAGAATGGTGCTGGAAGAAATGTTTTTTTATCAGAAGAAAGAGCTTTTTCTCTTCTTTGGAATTATGTATAACTTATTTTTATAACACATTCATAAATGAAACGACATAGCAGAAAAGAGAAGCACCCTTAAAAAAATCCGCACTTTTTCTATACAAAACTCCGCAACATATCGATTCTTATAACTCTTCGATAAATAGGTCGTGAAAAGAATATTTTTTTATCAGTTGATAGAGAATTTTCTTCTCTGTCGAACAGTGCATGATTCATATTTATCACAGATTGATGAACGAAACGAGAGAAGAAAAATGAGAAACACTAGCGCAATAAATTTGTGACTTTTATATGAATTCATCAAACGGATTTTGTAGACGACGCCAGTTAAGTATTATTAACTGTCGTTTTACAAGGACCTTTTAATGAGTCCATAAAAATCGAACTAATTGTAGTCTAACAAGAT